AGAAGAGAGGAGGAGGAAAGCACAAGGTGTTTGGGGAAAGGAAGGGACTATGGTAACTCCCACTCAGCCTAAACTACAGTGAAACCACCCCTAAAGTGGGTGCATTAGATCCCAGCCTCTTTATCCCTTGTCCCAGTAGAGATTTCCACGCTGATTCTGCATCTAATTTGCTTTTAACAACCTTCTTAGTATATAGTGCACTGATAGCTTCAGTGCCTATTGTCATTTGAGGTCAGTAATGGTTTAGTTGCTAGAGGAAAGGGATAGATTTTCCCGTAGTGTGCAAGACAGCAAATACATTTTTACTGACACTTTATTAAGTGTCTTTATTAAGGCAATAGGTCAATGGGAATTCTGGAAAAATTTAGTTGCCGATTTCTTGTTGTTGATCTCCTTTTGCCCTATTTCTTGTTGTTTCTCCTTTCCACTTTAAAGTGGAAAGCTGGCTGCTTAAATCAGCTTCTTAAAGTACTTTCCATTCTGGTGAATCAACTTACAAACATGGAGAAGAAGATTAATATGTATCTAGAGCAAATGGCAGAATGGTGGAAAGGAGAGAAGAATCAGTTCGAGTCAAACAATTACAGATACTGAGTGAATAATTAACATGTGTCTAGGGAAGCTGGAAAAAAAGAAACGAGCATCAACGCAGGCCTGCTGCTTCATGTAGATATATATTTAATGTATTACTTTGGTTTAAAACAATCAGAGAATAGTAAAATTTTTGAGGACTAGCCCCTGAAAGAGGTTATTGTGGAAACACATTGCAGTAAACTGAAGTGTAGAGTAATTCTGTATTTATTCCAATGCTGTCGTGTTGTTTCCAGCAAGCTTTCCAATGTTATGTGTTGTCTGTTGTAAGGTCAAGCAGCTCAAGTTAATATGAGAAATTTTATAACTAACATCTTGGTAAAGTTAAACCTAAAATTAAAGAAGAGATGTATTAAAGACAGGACGGTTGTGAGTGGGAAGCAGTGTCAAAAGCAGCTATCATGATGTGATCTCAAGGGCCTTAAAACTGGGAAGCGCTGCGTAAAGGGCTGTGTAAAATCCACAGAACTCACAGCTTTACCAGTCATCAATATTAGTTGAAAGCCTGTAAGATCAGCTACTGTCGTGTAACAGTGAACTGTTTGCTGGCTAGGGCCAGGATTTTTTCAAAGCCCAGGAATCTGCCAGCAGATAACAGGCAGCCATGGCCTGTGTTATCTGACAGCGCGTACTCTAAGGTTTAACAGCTGGAGGGACTAAGCTTCCCCTCTTCTGCTTGGATTTCACAGAGTTGTGATGTGTAACTAGTATTTTAAGTGATTTCTAAAGCGTGGTGTGAAGAACAAAATGATATTAGCTGAGGAGATTGCCATGAGGAGCAAAGGGGGCGTGGGTGAGGGTACCACTACATCAGAGTCACAGACTGACCCCAGGCTGTGTGCGGCGGCTATCTGGGATGTGCTCTTATCACCCGAGCCTTTCCAGACCCTCTCTGCACAGCAGCTCTTCCCTCCTTCTGTGCTATTTTTTCCCGCCGGACTGCAAGACATCCCCTCCGACAGCGCGTCCCAGCCCTCCGACCTCCAGCTGCGAGCAGGCACACAGCCACTTCTCATCCCCACGGCTGGAGGATGCATGTCCTTTCCTTTTCAGCTCCTCCAGTAGCTCTTCCCTCAGGGCTCTCCGACTCCTGTGCCAGCCAGCAGCCATCTTGTCCTTCAAGTCCATACAGGCTTCGGTTCAAATTTTGAGGATGCTTTTCAGGCCGTGCTTCAAAGCTCCTGCGGGGCAGTGCTGTGGGACGGCGATGTGTCCGGGGCGAGGTGGTTGCCCTCGGAAGTGACAACTCAAAGATGTGTTCTGAGCAAAGCCCTGCTTCGAATGCTTGCTCGGATGGCTACTCTGTAAAGCCAAAAATGCCCTGTTCCTAAATAATTCCAGGCATTTTTGGAATAAAAGGGAAATTAAGGATTTAAGACCTTTGTGCCTTGAAGCACAGGAACGTCTTGGAGTTACTGCAGAGATTTCAAAACCGTAATTTTAATATATTTTGGTAAATATACATAAAATATGAAAATTCAACATCAAAGAATACACATCAAGTGTAGTTCTCATTTACATTACAGACTAAAGAGAATTCAGAATAATTTTAGTATCTGGGACATCAGTGATGCTGCAGCTGAATGAATATAGGACAAAGGATCTTATTTAAACTTGGACTACATTCTTTTAAATTACTTCTTTAAGCATCATAATGAAAACAAGTAATAAACTAAATTCAGTGGAACTTTTCTGTAAGCTTTCTCTTCTCTTAAATAGTTTTATTTGCAAATATCTGTGTCTGTAGCTGAACAAATGGTCTATATGTTCTTGTTATATTACAGAATTAATCCAGAGCATCAATGACTTCCAGTTTAGGCTTTTAGATTTCACCTCCATATTGCCATGGCATTTCCACAGCATGCTGCAGTGCCAGGAATCTCTGCTTTTAGGTCACTCCTTTTTCTCCTTGTTTATTCAAGCCTGTGCGTTATTTGCTTTCGCCAAATACATCATTCTGTTTTCAGAAAGCCTTGAAGATTACATTCCTCTCAGAGTTGGAGAGTTATTTAACAAAATATCCTACTACTTTTTAAAGTGACAAACCTGTGTTTAGTCTTTCTATAGGAATTGCGATTTTCCAATTTTTTTAAGAGTTTTGGTATACAAGAAGTGTGTATACAAGTGTGTATACAAGAAGTGTCGGTGTTAAGGGGGATTGACTGTGCTTAAGCAGTGGACCATCAAGAAGTGATTCAAGCAGTGATCAAGAAGTGATCAAGTAGTGATTCAAGAAGTGATCAAGTAGTGTCCTTTTAAAGCATCTAATGGGTGTGTGCACTTTGTTTCATGTATCCAGTACTTAGAGGGAATTTTCTATCTTGGATGACATATACAATTTCTCCAAAAAAACCCACATTGTAGAGCATTTTAAAGTGTTAAGGAAGGTGTACTCACATAATCTTGCCTGATACAGCTGATAAGTGGAAACAGGAAGATATTTGTCAAGTGGTTTTCACAGCATTTCATCTTCATATGTTAAAGCAAGAATATAGGAACACGAGTGCTGAATCAGAAAAGCTCTAAGCACAGGCGTGAAGTTGAACTCTTGGTTATATTACTTCAGAGGTTTTGGATTGCACTCCCTGTAGGATGCTGGGAAAGATTTATTTCATAGTTTGTTAACTGTGACAATTATTGTTATAGAGAGATGCGTACAACTCCCCCATGCTTTGTGTTACATCCTTTTTATGTGCACTGAAACACCCAAGTATAGTGTTTGCCAGGAGATACCCACGAATGCCTCCATGGGGAGGCAGTTGTACAATGGCTCTGCTGCTCGTGGGGAGCACGGAGCAGGACCGGAGATCCGTCCCCTGGAGCTGAGCTCACCTGGACAGGGCGTACATTTGCCTGCGGAATCACAGCACTCCTGTGTTTATTGCCTCCGCGTTTTGCCGACGTACACCTGCCTGAAAGGCATGAGAGGAGAAAGGCAGCAAAGCTGGAGAACCGCAACCAACAGCCGAGCTGTCCACCTCAGCTTGCTTTTGGAGCCCGGCGTGGTGCAGAGGTGCGGATCCGGGCACGGATGCAGCGCTGCTGCTGGCTGTGGCAGCGTGGGCGGCTTTGGCGTGGGAACCTGTGGGAGCAGGGCTGCGGGGCAGCGACTGGAGCAAAACTTTCCGGTTTAATTTGCCTTTGTTTGTGAGTCACTGCCCACAGCTCCTGCTGCTTTTACTTTCCTCCAGGAATGCGTTTGCACAGTTTTAACTGTGCTTGAGTTAATGTAGTTGTATAATCTGTGAGTGAGTAGTCATGCAAATATCAAACCGTTGGAAATATATTCCTTCAGCTGGCTGCATTGAGTAGTTCTGCTCTATGTTTATTTGTCAGACATTGTTACTGGGTAGAATTCAACTATATGTGCCATCTTCAGTTTCTCCAAACATTTTTACATCCCAGATCTGTACACACTTTATACCTTAGGAGGACACAAACCAGAATGTTAACTACTTAACTCACATAAAGGGTTTAGCTTTCTGTGTGATGATTAATTTTTGTCCCAACCACATCAGATTTTTTTAAGTGGATATCATCTGTACTTTTTTTTTTTTATTTAAATTGTGATTCACTCTAAGATTTTGGGCAAACACAGGAAAAATTACGGCATATATACACAGCAAGACAACTCATTCCTTAGTATAGTATTTAACACACCTCAATACAGACTTCAGAGCTGGAAAAAGACAAAGCGTTTTGGGGGGAAAACAGCTTCAGTAAGTGGCCTGCAGATTCTGTAACTTCTGTGGTGAGTTACGGTGCCGACCTCTGAAGGGTTTAGAGAATGGTTGTTACCTGCAGGATGTATGCCTGGGAGAAGGTGGAAGCAATACGTATGTCATCAGCGTCCTGCTCATTCTTTCTATAAATACTTTGTGAGTGTTCTTGCGAGCTCAGCCATGTCTGGCCACTGCCATGGGCAGCAAAGCCAAAATCCACTCAAGGCGAAGTGCAAACACTTATCTGTTTATCTGTTTGCATGATTTCCAAGCCATAGTGGAACACTGGAATAATTTACACATATTTTGGTTGACATGGAATGTGCAAGTTTTTAAATGGTGGTGTTACCTCCTCCCATATAGATCTGTCTGTCACCAGCTTTATATTTATCACTGGCTCTGGAAGCAGCCAAGGAATCTGAAAACCGAGGACAACGTTGGTGAATACTTGCAGGAGGATTGCTCAGCAAATCATACCCCACACTCCCTCAAATATTCAGACTTGAAAGATGATGGAGCATCCTTACCCCACAGCAGTTACAGGCTCCTACCTCAATGTGGCAGGGGTCAGGTGCAGAAGTTTGGAAGCAGCTTAACCTTTAGCAGAAACACTGGGGTAGCTGAGGATCACAGCTTGCTCCTGGGGTGAAGTGTCACCTTCCCTGACATCTGTTTCTCCCCTTGCAGGAGAGTACTGTGAGGTGAACGCGCGCTCCGGCCGCTGTGCTCCGGGGGTGTGTAAGAACGGAGGAACCTGCGTGAACCTGCTGGTCGGAGGCTTCAAATGCGAGTGTCCACCAGGAGAATACGAGCGGCCGTACTGCGAGATGACCACCAGGAGCTTCCCACCACAGTCCTTCATCACCTTCAAGGGGCTGCGGCAGCGCTTCCACTTCACCGTCTCCCTGATGTAAGTCCCTGTGTGGGAGGGCTCTGTGGCTCATCACTTCTCCGCTTGAGCTTGGGGGCTGTTTGTTACATATTGTCACCAACAAATGACCTACTCGTAGAGGTCGTATTGGGGATTTCTGACAGTGACTCCTGAGAATGAGGTGCCGTCATGTTATTTGAAGGTGTTTGATGTTCTGCCCTGGTGAGGTGCTACCTCCCAGCCTTCCCCTGCTGCATTCTGAGGTGATGGCATGGGGAGAGGGGACATCAAGGCCTCTCCAGCCACCTCTCAGCAGCCCTCAGCCAGAGAGGCACAAGGGTGGGTGGTGGGTTTGCCACCTTTTCTAACTGAGCCTGTGGCTTCATGACTTTCAGGCCGGCTGCAGGGCTGACCCATTTATGCTGCTTTTTCAGCAACACTCTTCCCCTCTTCTGTTTCCCAGCCTGTGGGAAGACGTGATCTCATCAGGCCACAGCTAAGCACCGACTGGTCCTCCTCAGGTGCTTGCTCTCTTGGTTGGTTGGCTTTGGGCTTTGGACAACCCCAACTGTCGCAGTTCCTCACCTGGCTTCTCTTGGCCATCACACTCGGCTTCTGCTCCTGGTCTCATCCCAGCTGCCAGACACAACCACGCTCATCCCCATCCCATATGTCCTGATGGCCCCACGTGGGGCAATCTTCTCCTGGGGTGGCTGTCACTTTTCCCATGGGGAAACGGGAGGTGAGGGGAATGATGATGGCAGCTGCACTGCTTGGACCAGGGCTCACCTCCCCTGGCTCACACATCCTGGAAAATTAAAAAAAACTTCTGGAGAAGACTTCTTGGGTCAAGCGTAGCCTGCCCCAGAGCTAGATCTCCATGTGCACACACGCCTCTTCTCCAGAGAGGACGTGGGTTTGCAGCTTTCCCATAGTTTAGGTTGTCAGGATTAACTTTTCGTTCTCCCTCAAGGTTGACTGTGAGTAAATAACACAAAATGTGTTAGCCCTGACCCCAAAGGGCAAGGCCAGGGGTTTACTGATAGGTACAACAACAGCCAAAGCGACAGACAGGGAGGACACCCCCAGGCACACATCCCAACAGTGACCTGGTGTTCTACATCTCTCAGGAGCCAGGCAGCTTCCTTCGGTTTTATCTTTCATCTACCTTAATCCTAAGGTCTGAAATTTTATAGAATTCTGACATTTTGGTTAAATCAGAAAGCACAGGCATGGTTTGCACACAAGCTGAAGCAGAGAAGAGTTGCACCTGCAAAGATCATTTTAGAGCGTCAGATCTAAGTTCAGGGAAAAGCTGAGGAGCAAAAGGCTGTGTTGCACTTGTCAGACCTATGGTGAGTGCAAACAAAGGAGCAGTCTGGGCTCACTGCCAGCATAAATTACCTGCACTGCCCTTGGCTTGTCCCCTCAGTCATGTGGCATCATTTTTCAAGCTTTCAGGAAGAGTTCTTTGACGTGTAGGGTGCTTCAAATTAAAGTGTCCCAAATGCTCAGTGTGGGGGTTATTGAGAAACAGCAAACTACTGTAGCAAGGTACTGCTCACGCCGGGTTTTCTTCACTGTCTTTAAAACCAAAATGGCATATTTAGTCATGAGCTCAGCACTGCTCAGTGCGCTCGATGCAATTGTGAGAAGCCTGGACCATCATGGGCTTCAGTCCACACTGTCTGGGATAACGACACTTTTGGCTATTCCTACCTCAAGTTCACTTCTATTTACTTATTATTTCTTAGCTTTTATTATCCTTCAATGCAGGTAGAAAATATTATGTGAGGATAAGCAAGAATTAGCAGTTTGTCTGCTAGACAGTGCATATTCGGTGACTTGGGAACATTCATAAAATCCCACTGTGCCTAGCTTCCCTCAGCCTTAAGTGACTCACGACTTCCTCTTGGCAAAGAGCAGAATGTTTGCATTGTCCAGTCTCATAACTAAAATGCGATTTTTAGATTACTGACCAGGCATGCCATTCTGCTCCCAACATTGTGGGTCTCCCTTGCTTCCCTCTAACACTGCCATTCCATCACTGCAAGAGACACTGTCAGGAGAGAGGTTTTCTTACTATTTATTCAAAATCCTCCAAGAAAGTGTCTTTTGTTTCCTATGTCCTGATACTAAAAATATCCCTTCTGCTAAAATATGGTCTTTTTTGCCCCAGCTGGTGATAATCAGACAAGTTCAGGAGTAGTAGTGCTTTAAATATGAGTATGATACAAAAGGTGCTTTTGACTAGTGACAAAGAGCGGAACTTAGCACGCATGAGTAAAGAAGTATAAAAAGATAGCTTAATCATTTAAGAGTTTAATAAATTAGAGTTTGATATTTAAAATTATGGTACACAATTGTAACCATATCAGAAAAATACATTAAAACAGAACTAAGGTTCTTGTTGTTGCTAATCAAACTAAATCTTTCTGCCCACTGAAGAAACATCACTAATATTATTCTCATTTCTTTCACTTATATATTTTTTGAAAGATCTGATCAAACTGTTTTGATGAAACAATTATCCATGGAAAAGTGCACTGTTGAGAAATGTTTTACAGGAAATGTATATGGTGAAAAGTGAAAACTAAATCAGCATTTTGATAATATTGAAATATTTCAACAGTAATGTCTTAATTAATTTAGTTTGGTTTTTACTTCTACAGTGCTATATTACATTAAATAAATTTAGAAATGAAGATGTATTTTAAAGCTAATTAAACATAATCATAATGGTAATATAATATTTTGATGGACTATAGCAGATAGTCTTTGGAGTTTGTGTTTTATTTGAAACGTCAACATTTTGACTTCTGTTTTTTGAACCAGAACAATTCATTCTAATTCAGAAATATTAAAAAACACAGGTCAAATTCAGACTTCTGGTTCTAAAAGGTCTCTACTCAGTGTGACCCACAACATACGTATGTCTGACAAACCTGGCTTAAAAAATAATTCTTTGAAATTTTTCATTTCAAATACCAAATCTTGATGTTCTAAAATGCTTCTTTCACATTTTCTGAATGCAAGTTTTATTGTATCGCATGAGAGTCTTGCTAGTAGACATGACATGAGAGGCACAAGAATAATTTCTTTAGTCTGTGAAAGTCAGCTTACATGAGCTGTGCTCAGCATTTGATTCATTTGTAGGAAAAGTGGGTTAATTTAAATCAGGCATATTTCCTGAAGTTCAAGATACAAAATCAAACTACACACCATTTGGAAACACAAGAAATTCCCATGGTTTCTCTCTTTTTCTCTCTTTATATAATATTAATCTTTGTAAAAATGTTTATGTAAAGTGTAATATTTATTTTTGCATTTCTAAGCAGATGAAAGCTGTATGTAAATCCCCAAAGATAATAGGATTCAATTAAAAATGATAAAGTGCAGACAACGCACACAAATTTGCAAAAGAAGTTCTGTGCTGACAAAAACAAAACCACAACAATCTTTTTTTAAAAAGTGAGGTTGGGTCACTTCTGCAGGAAAGGTGTGATATATTCCATATTAGAAGCACAAGAAAAAATAAAACCAAAAAGCACTCATTGGCACTGATTTAGTGGAATAGTTTTAAGTGTTTGTTTTTCTTCCTCCAATTGCCTGACCTGTTGATTGATGAACCCTGATTGTCTGTGTGGCATTATTAAAGTAACCCTTATCTTTCTTTTCCCCTTGCCTCCCCATCAGGTCTTTTTAATCAGTTGATGACTCTCCTTGTACCCTGTAGCATTTAGACAGCGAGCAGGCAGCAAGTATCTCCTCTTTGATGTGAAAATGCTTTCTAGCTCTCGGACTGTTTGCAAAGTGTAGTAAGTGCTACTGTTTGACAAGTGTCAGGTACTCACGCCGCATCGTGCGTCTGCCTGATTTTACCCCTTGTGAGGGTCAGCGTCCAAAGCAGATCTCTGCAGAGTCGACTTCTGTAATTTCCATCTTGCTTGCCTCTGTCAATCATGAAAAAGTAGATTTATCCTGCAGCTGATGCCTCAGTTTTATGATTTTCTGTCTGAAGAGAGTTTCAAAGAGTTCCTTTTCTGCTCAACATAGTTCTGTCTTTTGTCTGGGTGACTTGACCATCAGTTTTTAATTCAAAAGCCATTAAGCATGAACTAACCCCTCGTCTCTGCATTCTAGGTTTGCGACCAGGGAGCAGAACGCTCTCCTCCTCTACAACGGGCGTTTTAACGAGAAGCACGACTTCATTGCCTTGGAGATCATCGAGGAGCAGATCCAGCTCACCTTCTCTGCTGGTGAGGCCTTGCTCAAGTCGAGCATTTCTGCTTGTGGTCAGGAGATCGTCTCAAGCTATTGGGAAATGCACTTTAATAATTTTATATGCCTGTATACCGGCTGGCACTGAACAGTGAACAACTGATGCTTGGCGTTGCGAAGTACTCCAGGTTGTAACGGTTTGTGGTGGTTGCGCTTGCTGTCATGGGCAGGAGCTTGTCAACTTATCAGTTATAAAAGCTGGAGTTTATGACTACTATAAAAGATTGGCACTAGCCTGAAAGTTGGCCGCTGAGCCAATGTTTGCGTAAATGAGACCTCACTTTATCACACTGTGATAAACGTTGTGTGTTTATGCGTTTTTACACTACGCCATCAGTGAAACTAGGTGTGTAAATGTTATCTAAAAAATACATGCGAGCCAAAGGGAAAGCTAGCAGACAAGTGAAAAATGCCTGCCATTCCTTAGGGGTTGGTGATGAGAAAGACTGTCCCTGGAATGCACTTCTGCACTGTAGAAGCACCTCCTTTTGGCAGAAGCCGTAAATAACAACGAATTTAGGAGTGCTTAGCTGCCCGCTCATTGCTATGGTGGGCTAGGAAATGGGGTGTGGAGGCTTTGACTTTTGCTGGCTTTCTGCAGGAGGACAGAGCCGGTGTCATTTGGTGCTTCTGGGAGCAGGGAGAGGGGGAGGCTGACAAGCGAAGCTCAGGGTGGCAGGTACCCCTGTTACCGTGATTTCTCCCAGGGGACAGGTTTCCTCTGGAAAATCAGCCCTGGCAGTGGCAAAGCTCTTCCTGATGAAAGCTGTGATCACAACAAACCTTGACTGTTTCAGCTTCATTGAAGTTGTGTTTCCCACGTGAAAAAAGCCCAAGTTTCATCCAGAAACTTGTGCCCGGCTGTGCTGATTGCCCTGGCAAGGGTAGGTGGTGAAGCTGCTGGCGCGCAACTGTACAGCGTGGCTGGAGCGCGTTGAAGCCACCAGCAATCACCCTCTGAGCTTCAGCCGTCTTACTGAAGCTCTTGGAGTCTCTCTTCATAGCATGTTCGGGGTTGGAAGGGACCTCTAGAGATCATCTAGTCCAGCTCCTCTGACAGAGCAGGATCCCCTAGGGCAGCCACGCAGGAACGCGTCCAGTTTTCAGAGAAGGAGACTCCACAACCTCTCGGGACAGCCTGTGCCAGTGCTCTGTCACCCTCACAGTAAAGAAGTTTCTCCTCATGTTGAGGCGGAACTTCCTATGTTCTAGCTTACACCCTTATTCCTTGTCCTATTTCTGGGTACCCATCGTGAAGAGACTGGCACGTTCCTCTTGACTCCCACTCCTCAGGTATTTATATACATTCATAAGATTCCCCCTCAGCCTTCTCTTCTCAATACTAAACAGCCTCAGTTCTCTCAGTCTCTCTTCAGAGGAGAGATGTTCAAGTCCCTTGATCATCCTTGTAGCTCCACCCTGCATCCCTGCTTCAGGCCACGAGCAGGTCTGTGAGATTGGTGGGAAAGCTTTAATGACTTTACAAAATCTCAGCAGGACAGACAACCTCTAGTTGTCACAGGTTAAGGGGATGTTTTCCGTCGGGACAGAAACAAATTCTTAGGAAGAGCTGTTGTTGTGTAGGTCAAGTGGGGTTATGTATAGGTCAAGTGAGACATCTGTATCTCTGTACCGTGCACATAACTCAGGAAATAATCCTGTTATTTCCCATTATCTGTATTTAGGATAGACATGCGGGCTGTAGTTAAGTCGTGCTTTATTTTTGTGAGAAGTGACCCATCGCAAGCAGTAAAGAGGTGGAAGCAGAGGCACACATCGGTGTCACACGCTCATCACCAGTGATGGTCCCTGTCATCAGACCCTGTGGTAGATCCTATGTGACCCCATCAATTTACCAGGGATGCTTGAGTGCATATCTGGGCCCTTTGGGATAAAGATACCCGGTTTCATTTCCCCTTTATTACCTCAAAGTTGTCTAAATTAGATTTTAAGGCAGGCTTTTGAATGGATTAGTGTAATGAAATAACATGCTGCAGTCAGAGATGTGCTTTCTTCTGTAGCTCTGCTCTGCCTGTCTAAACTTGAACCAAACTGCTCAGAAGGCACCCTGAGGATGAATGAGAAAAAAATAAATTCTACTTGCACTTATATGCATTTAAATGTGGAGGAACTCCTTTAAAATACATGAAACTAAATTTAGACTTGCACTACTGCACCTGAGAGCAGGTCTGGTCCTGTATATTACAAATGGTATTTTTTTTGGAAGGAGAATGATTTCTGTTTTATAGTTTTAAGTGGCTTTTAACAAACAGTGCAAATTTTGGACATCTGATCTGACTGTTTTACCTGTCGCAACAACTTTTTCACAAAAAGCAAAGCAAAAAGATTGGAGACCAGTGATACTCTTTTCCCAGAAACTTGCTAGTTGAACAAAAGTCCAACTTCTTCTGCAGTTTTTTTATCACTGGATGATAAAAACCTTCACAGCCAGGTGTCAAACGTGCTAAGCTGAAGCCTGTGTTTAAATAACAGAAATATATATATTTCTGGATGTGAGTTAAAGGAGAGTAGGGGATACAGTGATAATACTTCACACAAGGTAGAGTATTTGTTGCAAATAAAGAGTTGAAAGTTTTGAGCTCAACAATACTGTGAACTTTGTTAGCTTATGGGAGGGAAATGTTTTACCTGTGGTTTATTATGGAGAATTTTCCAACTGTGGGGTTTTTTTAAAAAATGAGAAAGAAAAAAAAGTTGAAACCTAGCGATCCTTTCTCCGTGCCAGGCCTTTTATGTACTTTCAACATGAATGTTTATTTTGCTGCTACCTCAGGACAGATATGGCTGGTTACTGAGCTGGTTCTGCTGACTCAGATCTGGCTTTAAAGCTTCAGCTTTCCAGTTGCAATGGCAAGGACTTGCTTTCAAATTTAAATACTGAAAGGCTGCCAGTAGTTTCATTAATCACTGGTAAATTTTTCTGGGACCAAGGTTACTCTGGGTTTTATATTAGAGTACTTTGGATTTGGCTTTCTGAGCTCTGATGAGGAGTATGCTTCCCTTCCCTGACAAAATACCACAGCACAATACTCATCATACTAAAAAAAAAAACCCTCAAAGTGCTGCTTTTGGCAGAAATGCAGAAAAATTCTTGTACATTTTTTCCTCAGGAGACCACTTAAGTAATAGTTGTATCTACCCAATGCATGTGCTGCCGCACTCTGCAGAAGCATAATTAAAAAATAACAATTCCCCCCAGTGTGCCAGAAGCTATTTTTGTATTTGTGAACCAAAATGATTCGATGAAATGGGGGATATTTACTGTCTCACGTGACAAAACTCCAAATTCCTCCATGGTGAAGTAAGATGGCTGTACCTTGTGCCTAGTGGAGGTCTCTCCATGTTTCAGATTAGTGCAAAGCGGAATTTGCAGTGATTTGACTTATTTTTTTCCCTTCTGCCTGCCATTGCAGGAGAGACAACCACCACGGTGGCACCGTTTGTTCCGGGAGGGGTCAGCGATGGGCAGTGGCACTCGGTCCAGGTGCAGTACTACAATAAGGTAAGGCTAACTGTGTTTGTGATAATCCTATCATTTGTAAAGTAGAAGAGGCACAGGTCATCTAGATCTGGCCTGATGTATACAGGTTACCTGGACTTTATTTATTTAATCAGACACATTGCTACAGCTCTGCACAAGCGGTGCTGGTCTTGCGCACCTTGCCTGGGACAAAAATTCTCTCTGAGGAAGGCAAAATCAGACTTAGCACATCCTTTTCAGAAGTACTACCAGGGAAACCTTCAGGTACTTGGAGCTATTTTAGTTTTGAGTTCTTCAAACCCTCACAAATGCCAGTGTATTTGAAACAATTGGTCCACTGATTCGGATCCTTTTAAAGAATTGTGCAGCATACAAGCCTTCTGTGTAGTTACTACACACCACTAACATCGAATTTTCTGAAGCAAAGCAAAATTCTTCCCTGTAACTGTCTTTTGTGTAAAATGTCAAATTTAGCTAGCACAAGCTTCTCTGGTTTGGAAAATTTGGTTATTAACTGTTTGACACTTTTCAGTAGTCAAGGGCTATCTTACTAAATCATTTTTTTGATACACAACAGAAATGCAAAAAGCATAGTTGCTCGCAGTCCGTGCTGCTCTGGAGGTGGGCTTCTGTGTGCTCGGTAACTGCCAGGAGCAGGTTCACTTTGGCTGAACAAAAAGTGAGGACTTTGTACAAACTAGCCATGTTGTGATGAACCCAAAGTGGGCTTTTAGGGTGTACGGTGTCACTGTTTACAGATAGATGTCAGAGCTTTTCTATAATCTATAACAAAAATTAAAGAATTCATTTAGTTGCTGAGAAGTGTTGCTTTTAAGTTTGACATGAGAGCATTACGGGGGATTGCGTAAAGAAATAGAGGAGCATTGTTGGCTGTTAAAAAGGAAACAGGATACTGGTGTAGGAAGCTGAATGGAAGATGAAGGATTAATATGATCAGCAAGTTCTTTATTTCCCAGCGCTGCATCCTTTCATCACAGTTTGTGTGCTAGTTTGAATGGGAGGATTAAAATTTTCTTTAGACTCCTAGACAGGGTCTCCTAGCCTGAGGATATTTTAGTGAGGAAATAAAAACCTTTTTTATTATTTAAAAAAAAATAAAATTTTAGAACTTATTTTTTTAAGTTTTGTACTTATACTTTTAGTTGTGTACTCTGTGCGCAGAGATGTAGGAGTGAAACTTGGTGTGTCACCGTGTACACATCTCCAGACACTGCAACTCTCTTCCTTGCAAAGTGCAACATGCCCTGTTTCCATAGCCTGCGTATTTCTCAGAGAATCACTTTAGCAGAGGAAAAGGCACTTGCTGAAGCAGCAGAGGGACACTCCAGCTTTCCAGCTCCTCGATGGATGTGGAGGGGAGGGCACAGCTGCAGGCGAGGGCACAGCTGCAGGGACAGCCGCTGGAGCATGGCCAAACAGATAAGGGGCCCGGGCAGCCCCAGGACACTCTTTAAAAGGCAAAGAGATCTGACACTGACGTTAAAAATAAACCCCTGCCTCATTTTCAGGGCTTGCTGCTGTTCAAGCAGACTGGTCAATGAGCAATGTTAGCAGCTAATGTTTTCCTGTTGTTACCATGTGCGTCCTGTCATCATTTTCTTCCTCTGCCTCATTTTTTTGAAGAGGAACAAGCCAGTCCCCAACACAGAGGAGGAAACTCAGGGCAGAGAGGGAGAGCAAAGGTCTTGTGCCAGGAAACACCTCTCTCTTCACTTCCTTTGCCACTCGCGTGACATAAAAGTGATGAACGGCAGGGTCACTGTGTGGAGAGCAGCACTGTGCCCTTTGCTGTCGCTGTTAGAGACCGAGGGCGTCGCCTTCCCCTCAGGAGGATTTATTCCAGAAAGGTTAAATTTGGGCTGGCAGAGGAGAGCTCGCAATACTGCGTAAATGGCACAAGTAGGATATGATAACCTCTGTGTATTTAGTGTGCTCTCGGGACTTTGCAGCATGTCTGAAAGCGTTGCAGCAGCTCTCCGGTGGTGACGGCAGGAGTGGGCGCTGCGGGGCAGCGGCAGCTCTGCAGGGCTGCCCGCCGGGATGCCCACTGCGCCCTGCGGCGGGGTTGAGCCTTCGCCTCAGCTGGTGTTTGTTTGTGAAGCAGTTCCTTGGCTACTTCAAGTTTTAACAAAGCTGGAGGTATAGTTGCCGTGAGGCGGTTGAAAAGGCAGAGATAATTTAGGGATTTGAGTTGTGCCAAGATAAATGGGATGCTGTGTCTAAACTTGAAGCAGCTAAGACGTGTTTGAATAACAGAGTACCCAAAACTCATGAGTTTGCTTAAATTAGGGACACATTTTGCAGATACTGCATCCTTTTGCTTTTTACAAAATCCTACCACAGTGTCAGGCCCTCATCCCATCACTACTTGGCCCCTTTGCTCTGCTCAGATCTGCACAGCCTTCCTGACCAGGCAGAGCTCCCCTGACCCAACTCCCTCCTCCTTGCCTCTGGATCATGTTTGATCCCTAACCCCCAGGCCCTTCTGCATCCTCCATTCTCCATTCTTCCATTCTGATGTTTGCCTGGGGAGTTCTGTTCTTTGCTCATTTTTAGATTTCTTTTCACAATGCTGTTCGTGGGAAACACGTTACTCATTGCCCCAGATATCCATAGAGATCCATTTTATTAATGTGTTTGTGTCTTGCATTAAAAAAGCCATTAAAGAGGTATTTATACTTACTCCTCCTCCTTATCTTTCATTCATGTTGAGCTTCATCTCCTTCCCTCTGCCTTTTGCTCCAGAGCAGGTTTTCTTTGTTTAATAAATCTGATCACCTGTGCCTATCCATTCTTCAGTCCCTTCCTGTGTCATTTCGGTGCTTTTTTAACACAGCAAACCCATACAGACATTTTGAATTTCTCTTATTATTCACAGCTGAGTGCTACCAGGCTGCTTGTCCTGCTACTGGGGTCATTAGAGCTGTCCCTGTCCCCTTCCTACCCGCTGTTAGTGACAGGCTTTTCGAGCTGGACCCTTTCCTCCTGCCTTGGAAATGGGAGACATGTTGTGGTGCAGATAGAAATAAACAGCAATTCAAAAATTTCCTGTTGTGCTCACAGCAAGCATTTGGGGTCAGGTAGTCTAGTAGCTTAATCCTTTTTTCCCAGTTCCTTTTTTTTTTTTTTTTTGGTTAAGCTTCTTTAAAGTATGTTTTTAAAAACTAAGCTAGAAACTGTTTGGTTTATTTCCTTCTTTCTGCATTTGTACAGCATCTAGCAAGAAAAAAAAGGGCTCAGTTTTCTTTGGAGCTTTCAGATCATGCTGTAGTTTATCTATGGTGTATTAGATTTCATCACAGCCGAGGTTAATTTTTCATCTTTAGTTTTTGAGTAGAATGACTAACAGGCTTTGATATATAACGTAAATCAGTTCAAATTAACTTTTCATAGATGAGTTTTCACAGCTCTGAAAGCTACTCCTGCAATCTGAGTTGATCGTGGTCGGATATGAGCAAAGGTTGAAAGGCGTTTGGCACCCGTAGCTCTGTAGACAGTATTTGGCTGCACATCACTGGAGTTTGGACTCCGGGAGCAGATGACTTGGATGCGGGGGACAACAGTGGTGGGGAACTTCTGCAGCAGTTGTTTCCCAAAGGCGGCGCGCAGTCCTGCGGCGTCGTGGTGATGCTGCCACCCTGCCCAAAGTCGATTTGGTAATAACGATAATGAAATAAGAAGTGTAAAAGTGACTCTGGTCAATTATTTTCTGTACTCAGCTCAGAAGCGATGCACTTGGTAATATTTATCTTTAGTGTTGTAGAAAAACATCGTTTTGTAATTAATTCCCTATCACGAGGGTCCTGTGCCGCTTAAGGACAAACACTGGAGCCTCACTGGCAAGAGATGAGTCCAGAGCTGGCTTTGCACCACTGTGCTTGCAGAGAAGCATCACACCGATTCCCTATCAGCTCAAATATTTGATGATTTCTTACAAATCCTGGTATGTGCAGGCATTGTAAAACATTGCAGTAATGAAATATATTTTATCAGAAGAGGAAGGGAAGCAATGCCATTTCATTTACGGTGTAGTGATGGAAATGGGTGCTTCCTCCCCTGGTAACAGCCGACACGCTTGGTGTCAGTGGAGGTGCCTGAGGGAAGCACATGGGTGTTGCATGAAGGAAGTGTCAGCTCTGTATTGGATTTCTGGAAAGGAAAACATGAAGGGGAATGAATTAGTAGCTATAAGAGAGTGGAAGTGAGCTAAGAGTGCTTTATAACCACTCTCTAATTTCAATTATATATTAAAAGACTTGTCAGCTCCCCAGTAGCAAGGTATCAGTTTACCTGTTAGCAGTGTTACTTGCCTTTACAGGTGTTTGCTGACAGCAGCAGGGGAAGATGGGGGAAAGCTACTCACTGACGCTGTTAGCTCAAACATGTTGCCTTCTGGGATTCTCATCTTGCAGCCATTAAAATCCATGGGAGGGATTAAATGAATGGTGTACTGCATGTGACCTGCTTTCTCAAGAGTTATATGCACTGATAAGAAATTCAGAAGAAATGTGGGGTTTTTCATTATTTTGGAAAGAAAGATGGGAGAAGGGGGAAGATTTCAGCCTGGTTAAAAAAAAAAAAAACCAGATAAAAAAAATCATAGAAACAACCTGCTGCTTGTTCACAGGATAGGTAATGTAAAGAGCAGCAGCAGCAATGTGAGCTGCCCTCTTTACCTTAGTAATGTGCTTCCTTTCCACACAAAGAGAGAGCAATCAGCCTCTGACAGAGTTTGGTCCTTGTCCTTTGGCTCTCCTGAGCCTGCTGGCATGAGTGACGGTCAATAGGTTTAGCTGTGCTGATATTTGGAATAGGAGCAAAACCACAAGGGCATGTGATGATAACGATGCTCAGTATCCGTAATATTACATGAACTATCTGCCATTCGTTGCACACGTGGGATCATGTATGATTGTAGGTAGTACTTAGGACAGGAAATTTTAATGAGCCCAGTAGTGCATGCTGGTTTTAATTAAGTGAGAGCTTCAAGCCACTCTCCC